TTGTTAGTTATCATTGTCCCATCGATCCCAAGCAGAAGCCCTAAGCCTTCTTTGATCCTTATTTTTCTTCTAATATAGCTAAAAAGAGAAAACACATACACACACAAAAGCCCCAAGGCAGAAGCTTTTTCTATTGTCCTTAGCTTCTCTCAACAGCCTCAGTTTAATCTGAGATTTCACATTTCTGATATTATTTTTATGGGACCATGCCACCTTCATATTAATTCTCTATTACCAGCCTTGCTTCTATCTTCCATTTCTTTCTTTTTAAAATCTGAGTTGGTTGGTGCATACATAGTGGTGTCTTCAGACAAATCCCATTTGACCTCCTCTTCAGTATTGTTTCCCTTTGTGTTGTCATAATTTCATTCTTGAGCAAGCTTCATCTTTCTTGGGCTGACTTCCATTGTTGGTGGAATTTTACTCACCTTTCCTAGGACCTCTTTGCCACTTGCTTTTCCAAAATTCAGGGTGCACCCAGTCAGGGACTGGGTTGTGTGGGAAAACTCAGGGTCCATGGCCCATCACCCCATCAATGGATTAGGCAGATCAGGAAAGGTGGTACTTGAGCCAAGTTTTGAAGGAAACCAGGGATTTGAAGAGGCAGAGATGAGGATAGAAAGTATTCCAGGTATGGAGTACAACTAACACAAATATAAGAAATGAGATGGCGTGTCATGTGTGGGGCACAGCAAATAGACCAGTTTGCCTAGATTGTAGATGCATGGAAGGGAGTATATGCTTAAGAAAACTGGAAAAGTAGGGAGGGGTCAAATTATGAAGAGCTTTAAAAACCATCAGAATTTATATTTGATCCTAGAGATGATAGAAAGCCACTGGAGTTTAAATATGGAGGTAAGGGAGAGGAGTGTCACATGGTTAACTTTGTGCTTTAAGAAAATCATTTTGGTTGCCCTGTGATAGACTGAATTGGTGTGAGGAAAGGCTTGAGGAGAACAGACCTACCAGAAAGTTATCTCAATAGTTGAGGTGAGAGGTGAGGAGGGCCTGAACCAGGATGGTGAATGTGTGAGTAGAAAGCTGGGCACAGATATGAGGGATGTTGTGGAGACAGGAATGATTCAGCAACTGATTGTATATATATGGAGCGAGTGTGAGGAGATTGACACCAAGGTAGTAAATCTAGGCGAGTGGAATTGTGGAAAATGATGATTAGATGGGGAAATTAGATCATTCTTCTACTTTTCCCCAACTAGGCTTCATAATATTTTAATGTTATGGATTACAAGGTCATATATCCAAAGGTGTACTTTACAAAGTAAATGATATCTATTGCGTTGGGTTGTTCCTCTATATGCACTGAGAATCCACAGTTACCTTCTTTTACTTCCATGTTTAATATCCACTTAAACAAAGACAAGCCTCTTTGGTAAACTAAAAATGTAAAAACATGAGAGGAAGCCACAAACATCATAATGTCGTACCATTTACACTGATATACAATAGCTAGTCACTTATTACGACAGATGCAGAGTATTTGCTATTAAGCAAATGTAAAATAACAAAACATTTAGGACTTTAAATGTGTTTCTGGAATTACAGAGAATCATGGGATTTTAGAGCTGGAAAGGAATTTAGAGAGCAAGTGCACACAGTTGACTCAATAAATGCTTGTTGGATTGAAAAGAAAAAAAGGTGGTTGTTGATTTAAGTCCAGTTCTCTCATTTGACCAACTAGATAAGTGAGACTCATAGAGTTTAAATGATTTGCTCAAAGTCACAAGGATAGTTACTGGCAGAATAAAGATTAGAACCTAGTTCTCCAACACTCCTGTTTCCATGCCCTTTCTGCTATTCCACATTGCATCCATAATGTGAGAGGAACATTTCAGAAACCTGACAGTAGGTAAAACATAATTGATTTAAAACAAACAAAAAAAACCCCTTTTTTGTTAGGTGGAATGGTTTTCTAAGAGAGGTGAGGGGGTGGAGAATTTAGGTGACGTTTATTAAAATAAAAGATTATTAAAATTTGTGAATAGATGATAGTTCAGTACTGTGACATAAAAAAACAACTAACTTTACCAGATACAAATATCCTTAAAACTAGAACTAAATGTTTTTACTAATCTTTTCTTTCTTTAATCATAGTTGAAGAGGCTAGACAAGATAATCGTTAAGTTCTTTCTAATTTTAATTCTATGGTGAGATATTTTAAAGACATTTCTTAAGTGACACATGATTTTGGGCAAGTTGTGTAACCAGTCTGGGCCTCAGTTTCTTCCTCTGTAAAATCAGAGGGTTGAACTATATCACAAAGGAGAACCTTTAAATCAATGATACTATAGCGAAGTAGGGTTTGGGTTGTTGATGTTTTTCCCAAGTTTTTCAGGTAACCACAAATGGTAGTTGCAAGGGAATTTGTATTTAAGGGGCTCCAGTTTTATTTTCCTGTCAACAGAACTAGATCATTAAATGACGACATAAAAGCCAATTTCCTTTTTGGACACCTGTGTTTTCTTTCCTTTCCCCTCCCCCCTCCCCCCTCCCCAGTTGTGATGATCCTGCCAATTTCACTGTCCCTAACTGCCCTGACTTTGTAACTGGGCACAGTGCCTTCTGTCAATTCCTGAAAGAGAACTGGGTTGCCAGCTCAGTGAAACAAGGAAGTGTTGAAGGCCTCATGTTGGCAACAAGAACACAGAAAGTTTCAAAGCATGGATGGTCACATTAAAAAAAAAAATGTATATGCCTGCTATTAATATTCAGAGCAGGCTCAAATTATACAAAAGGTTATGAAATTATGTTTAACAATGAAAACCACATTTAGACATGCTAGAAACAAAAAAGAAATCTCAGAAAAGCAGGTGGATAACAATATTGTAGTAAACCACTCTTAGTACTACCAGGCTTGAGACTTGGAATAGAATGTCATTCTTAATTTGGCAAATCATCATATACAGCAAAACTCTGTTCTTTTCACACAGATTAGGATACACTAGATGTCAATGCATTTACCTGAAAACAATGCTATCATTGAAGTGGAAAAAAAAACCCTTATAATTTCCCATAAAGTAGGAATTAATTTTTATCCCCTCTCTCCTCCACCAACACCAGTTAAGAAGAGGTATCCCTGTAATTTAAAAAGAGGCAGTGTGTTACACTTTAGGGAGAGGAAAACAGGTCAAGTTTTGGGTTCACAGAAAGGCAGTGTGATGTATTGGAAAGAGCTCTGAACTTGCTTGACTTGCTCAGTCAGGAGCATAAGACTCAAACACAGGCTTGAGTTCATGCTCCACATTGGACTCATTTTTGGGGCATAACTAGAAACAGTACAAAGAGTGCTGGATTTGGGGTCCAGGCCCTACTCTTATTACTTACAAGATCATGGCAAATCTCCTCTGGGCCTCAATTCCTTATTGGAAAATCGAGGAGTTGGAGATGCCTTTTAATGTCCTTAGAACTCTAAATCTGTGATCCTGTAACTACACAACAGAGCCCCAGTTTTGACAGAGAAAAGGTGGTGGTTAGGGAACCCCAGTCTGAATCTCAGCGTGGATATTCCAAACCTGTATGATCTCTGTCAAGTCTTTACCTCTCTGGAACTGATTTTTCTCATTTATAAAATGAGGAGTTGAATTAAATGAACACCTTCCGGCTTAAATATCATGGATCATACATTCTAATCCTGGCTTTGTCACTTGTTAGATAACAAGGTTGACCTCTGGGCCTCAGTTTCCCCATTCATAAAACTAGGGGACTGACCTCTAGATGATCTCTAGGGTCACTGTCAACTCTGTGATTCTTTGGAGTTCAGACCTTGGCTCTATTAAGCTCTCTGGACCTCAGTTTCCTCATCTGTAAAATGAGATGGGGTCCCAGAGATGACTTCCAGCTCTAAATGTGTGCTCCTGCGTTAATGCCAATTTGCTAGTGTGATCTTCAGCCAATCACTTTAACTTCTCTGGGCCTCAGTTTCCCTTCCACTTTGTCGTTCAGTCTCGTCGGGCTCTTCGTGACTCCACGAACCCATATTACACCAATACCGTCCACCGGGTTTTCTCGACAGATACTGGAGTGGTTTGCCATTTCCTTCTCCAGTGGATGGAAGCAAACGGGGTTAAGGGACTTGCTCAGGGTCACACAGCTAGGTCCGAACTCGGGTGTTCCAGAGTCCCGGGGCGCTATCCACTGGGACCCTTCATTCTGCCGGCCCAATTTTTCAGGAATTGTATTTTGGGTGGACAAAGCCTCCTTCACGGCCACAATCCTCAGGCACCCCCATTCCCACCCCAGCTTTCCGGCCCTCCCTGCAGGCGGCATTCGGACGCCGGGCCTTCGAGGTGTCCGTCGGGAGTGGGTCGAGCGGGGACCACCCGGCCCCCCTCCCCCCCCGCCCTCCCCGGTCAGTCGTGGGCGCGCGCTCGGATCCCCCAGGATGCCTCGGGCAGCGCACAGGCTCCTGCGGGACGAGGCTGCGGTCCCTCCTCGCTCGTGCTCGCGCTCCCGCTCCCGCCGGCGCACGGGGCCGCGGCCCCGCCACGAGACGCCGGGCCCCGCCCCGCCCCGGGTCGGGGCCGCTGCCGCCGCTGCAGCGCCTCTCGGCCGGCTTAGGTGGGCTGGCTCCTGGGGGAGGGGGAGATTCTGTAGCGGCCGCAGCCTAACCCGGAAGTTGTGGCGGCGGCGGCGGCGTTGGGAAGGGGGTGTGTGTGAGTGAGTGTGTGTATGTGAGTGTGAGTGTGTGTTTGTGTGTGGGGGGGCGAAGAGAAGCCGGCCATGGCCGCTGCCGCCGCCGCTGCCTTCCGCTTTGTGTGCTGCTCCGGCTCCCGCTCCCGGCCCTGAGGCGCCGGCGCCATGCGCCCGCCGCTGGGCCGCTGCTGGTGACCTCCCTCCGGCGCCGCGCCGCGGCAGGTCGGGCCGGCCCGGGCCGATTAGTCGGGCGGGCCCCGCCTCCGCCCTCCTCCCCCGGGCTCCAGCCACCCCTGTCCTCCGCCCCCTCCCCCTCCGCCGCGCGGGCTGGCGGGCGGCCGTCCGTCCCGATGCCCGAACCAGGCCCCAGGATGAACGGCTTCTCCCTCGGCGAGCTGTGCTGGCTCTTCTGCTGCCCGCCCTGCCCCAGCCGCATCGCCGCCAAGCTCGCCTTCCTGCCGCCCGAGCCCACCTACACCGTGCTGGCCCCGGAGCAGCGCGGGGAGCAGCCGCCAGCCCAGGCTCCGGCTCCGGCGCCGCCGCAGCAGCCGCCGCAGCCGCAGCCGCAACAGCAGCCGTCCGAGGAAGCGGCGGCGGCGGCTGCGGCTGCTGCAGCAGCGCCCGGGGCGTGCAGCCTGCACCTGAGCGAGCGGGCGGACTGGCAGTACTCGCAGCGCGAGCTGGACGCCGTCGAGGTCTTCTTCTCCCGCACCGCCCGCGACAACCGGCTGGGCTGCATGTTCGTCCGCTGCGCGCCCAGCAGTCGGTACACGCTGCTCTTCTCACACGGCAACGCCGTGGACCTGGGCCAGATGTGCAGCTTCTACATCGGCCTCGGCTCCCGCATCAACTGCAACATCTTCTCCTACGACTACTCGGGCTACGGCGTGAGCTCGGGCAAGCCCTCGGAGAAGAACCTCTACGCCGACATCGACGCCGCCTGGCAGGCCCTGCGAACCCGGTGAGCCGTCCGTCGGCCCCCAGGGGCCTGGGGTAGCGGGGTCTGGGCGTCCCCTGAGCGGGGGGGGGGGGGGTCAGGAAGCAGCCCTTTTGTACAAACAAACAGAAAACCACGGGCCAGAACTTCTGCCTTCTCATCCCTCCCTTCCTGCCCCCCTCCCGAGGTAGGGCACGAGGATTCTGTGGATCCTCCTCCCAGGTGCAGAAGGAAGAGGGGGAGTCTGTCTAGACTAGACACTTGTGGGCTGGGAGAAGGATGGAGGGAGAGGTGACCTTAGCTTCTTCCCTTCAGGTGCTGAGGAGAAATGAGGGCTTGTGACCAAATTTGTTATTATTATTCTTCTTTTCCCTCTAGTTCCAAGCTTAAAGTAAAAGTCCTCAAGGTTCTTGGACAGATCTAAACTCAAAGGATTGCTTGCTTTGACACAATGTAGGGCTACTTAAGAGTCTCATCAGGTTTGCCAAAACAGTTCTTTTGTGGCTGTTAACTGAAGGTTGCAGAATATAGTGAGTTAGGTTTGGAGAGTGGGTCTGAATAAAATTGTTTTAATGTTGATTTTTAAGAGAAGGCACTTCATCAAACTGCCCCCCCCCAAAAAAAAAGTTCACCTCTTTCCCAGCAATCTTAAGAGAGCTACGAATCAAATAGTGCATGCCGATCTAACAAACTACCTTCCATGTCCTTGAAGTAGTCCTTTCAGGTAAAGGTTGGTATACCGGTGGGTCGCTAAAGCCCACTGAGTTCAAGAGATGGTGGTAAATTGATTAGTCATTCTGTCACTTTCTGTAGTCTTAGTTTACTTGTTAATCCAGATTGTGTTTGAATTTGATGTTATTGGGTGGGGAATCTTGAGTCCTTCAATTAGCATTCACATCAGTAATAAGAAAAGACATGGCTTAGTGTATAGAACTGGCAGGGAACTTGGGTTTTATTTTTGTCTAGGCCACATCTATAAGTGGCCTAAATTACTTTACCAGTTCATGCCCCGATTTCATCATCAGTTAATGTATCATCAGCAATATATTTTCCAGCCAACCTCAAGACAAACAGTGATGGTGAAGATTAATGACATGGTATCTTTTTTCTGTCTGTGAAAAGGGCTGTTTATTGTATATAAGTACAGAATTAGATGACTATTCCTGCTATTCAGCCTTTATTTGAGACTGGGCTTTGTTAGGATTTATATGTTGTTGTTGTTCTCTATTTGTGTACACATGTGTTCGTAAATGACCCTTTGCATCCCTGGATAAATGAAATAGTTTCTCAACAAGGAAGTATGTGCCCTCATATTTATCGTCTGCTGCTTACTCATGTTCTTGATGACAGTGTGACATAAGGAAGAACCTTAAATCCTGAAGATGATGTAATTATTTGGATTACAGGGTTTTTGAAATGGTTCAGATGTATCTGTATCACATATAGCTATGTTGGATACAATCTACAAGTAGTAAGAAGCCCTCTGAATATAGTGAGGGTTTGTAGTTCTCTGCTTGACACATCTGATTGTTGTTGAAAGCATTATGTAAGTAAGGACTAGCTACAGTAAAATAATTGAAAATTTTGCAGTGTTACAACAATTTGGATGTACTTTTGGTTACTTTTCCAAAATTTTATGCCCAATTTTACCTGTGTCTTGTTTATAAGCTTTGAGCAAGTCACCTTCATTTCCCATACTTAATCTCTCCCTTCTATCCAGTCCTCCATCACAAATAAATTTCATTGTCTAAAGTAACATTTAAAAAATACTTGGAGATTCAAGGAGTGCTCAGACATTGATTTACTTAAGAGGTTACATATTTGATGTACATTTCCCTTATCCTTATAGCATATGTGTCACTCAACCATCCAGCTAATCTGGCCCATCCTATACCTTTCAAGTATTATTCTTCGTTTTTATCTTACACAATCCCTCCACTTCAACTAAATTGGACTACACCATATCTGGGAATATGCCTTACACTTTTCCACCTCTATTTCCTTAGATTTCTGCCCTTGGTAATCTGAACTGTTACTCAACAGAACTGAAATCTTGTTTCCTTTAGAAAATCTTCCCCGTCATTTGAACCAAAAGTCATCTCTCTTCCATGTGCAGTTATTGTCTATAACACTCACATGGCATTTTTTAATGTTACATCATTTAGCGGATTTTAAGAGCTTTCTGTGTGCTACACACTGTACTGGGTTCTGAAGACACAAAGACAAAAATGATACAATTGCTGCCCTCAGGAATCTTATATTCATTGGACAGAAATAATATGGAAAGTAAACACCAAATATGTATCTTAAGTAGATACAGAGTAATTTGAAGGGTATTAGAAACTTCAGGAGACAAATCAGAGTAAACCTTCTCTGAATTTTGTAGGAAGATAGGGAATTCTAGTTTCTAGGAGAGAGTACATTAGAGGTAGAGGAGAGGCTTGTGCCAAGGTGTGAAGATGGTAGTTATCCAACCCTTGGGATTCGAGAAGTCAGAGTCAAAGTGTTACAGAATGTTAGGGAGCTGGAAGGAATGTTAAAGTATATCTTCTAGTCAAACCTCTTATTAGCGATTAGGAAACTGAGGCCAGAAGGGTGAATTGACTTGCCCACAGACACATAGGTAAGTGGAAGTCAAGGGCTCTTTCCCTTGCACCATACTGCCTAATATATTGCCTTGTTTGCAATTATTTAAATATGTCTCTCTCTCTCTCTCTATATATATATCTTTTAAATATATTAAATATATAAAATTAAATAAATTAATTAAATATATTAAATATAACCTCCGTTAGAATGGTATCCTCATCAAATGCCACTCAGGAGAGCAGAAATTTTGTCATGTTTCCCATAACGTCTTGCAAAGGGTAGGCAATCAATATTTGTTGGATGAGGTAGGTAAATAAGATTATTTACTAAACCAAATCTTTACAAAATCAATTAGACCTTATTTTATTTCCAGATTTTAATGCTTAAGTGGTAGAACTAATCCAAAGCTCAGATATTTGTATCAAACAATTCCTCCCAGTGCTTCATATTTCCTTTTACCTTAAATGTGTATTTTACATTAATGATATGGCATGCAATAATCATGTACTTTGGAGTTTTTAAAAGTAGCTATGTGAAATTTGGCCCTCTAAGAACTAGTATTAGTTGGAAATAATAGTAGGAATATGTATATTGTTAATTCCTGTACAGCTGGACATAATGCTCTTAGACAAAGGAACATATTACAAATAAACTATGAAGACACATTTGGAGAATAGTTGTAAATAACCTCAGAAGAAAGAGATTGAAGTTAGGATTTCTAGGGAAATGAGTTTAGAGATAAGAAAAGAAAGTATTGTGGGCATGGAGCTTGATTTGAGGCATAGGGATATTAGTTTTAAAATGTTCACTAACATCTTATGTACAATACCCTGTACTTAGCACTTTGGGGAATAATATAGATGAGCATACCCATCTGTGCCTGTTAAAGATTTTACAGTATAGTTAGGGGGTTCAGATAAATACATGAAGTACATGAACTATAATACAATAGAAATCAATTTTACAGATGTTTATTAAGTGCCTTATATTCAAGACAACAGGCACAGGGGATAAAAAGATTAAAACAAAACAAAAAACCTGCCCTCAGTGAGCTTATTTGCTCTACAAAGGGTAGGAGGTGGAATATAAAATGTATGCAGGTAAGTATAATACAAGATAAAGTGATAAGTGCTATGAGAAAGAGTGCTGAAGGATTTCGGAGTGCGGAGAGCACTTCAGATGGGTGAATCAGAGAAAAGCTTAATGGAGGAGGTGGCATTTGATCTATGTCTTGAAAGGTGGGTAGGATTTTTACAGCTAAAATAAGGAAGGCAGAGAAAATGGCAAGTGATGGTGGCTAGAAAACATGTTTGACTAGTATCCATTAGTGCAGTTGAATTGGAGCTTAAGATGTTTAATGGGATGGGTAGTGAAAGATAAGTCTGGAAAGGTGAGTTGGGCCAAAGCATGGAAAAATTTAAAAGCCAGGCTAGGGAATTTTTATTTGATAGGCATTGAGGAACCCTGAAACTTTCTGTGTAGGGAACATATATTCCATAACTAGCGTAGTAAAAATAAGTTGGCAATTATATGTATTGGAAGGGGAGAGACTATAAAATTGTTAGATCAGTTAGGAAATTGTCATAATTTTCTTCCAACTCTGAGAAGATAATGTAGGTTCAACTTACACCTGAACAAGAATCCCCTGTATGTTAATCCAGTCTCTGCTTCTAGACCTTTAGTGCTAGGAAAACTCATCCCCTCCTAAGGCAGCTCTTTCTGCTTTTGTACAAATCTTATGGATAGAAAAATTTTCATTTTATCAACCTGAAATTTGCAACTTTGTAACTTCCATCCATTGTTCTAGTTTTGACTCTGAGGTTAAGCAAAATAAGTCTATCTTATTCTAAATGACAATCTATCTACCCTTGAAGTCAGTGATCTCATTTCTCCTTAGTCTTGGCAAAATGTTCCTAGTCTCTTCAACCAAATTTTGTTATGTAGTGACTTCAAACTTCTTTATCATCTTCATTGCCTTCTTTTGGATGTTCTCTAGCTTCTTAATGTGCTTCCTAAGGCATAATCCTCATAACTGCACACAGTACTCTTATCAGCGTTTCTTAAACTCTGGGTTTTGAAAAATTTGGCAACAGTAAAAGGTTTCTGAATATGCATTGACCAAAAATTAATTAAAAATCTAACACGTAATGAATCCAAGGTGTTTCTGGCAGCACTCGCTTGTGTGCACAACTACACTGCAGCATTGGTTCTGAAGGCAAACCAAGGCAAAGCATGCTCACTTTGCGCTGTGCATGCCCTCAGGCCACGCAACACCAACAAAAGCTGTGAAATTGGAAAAGGGGAAAAAGTTTAAGAAGCCTTGCTCTAGATGTGGTTTCCAGGCCCCTCTAAGTGTTGTTGTTCAGTCATTTCAATCATGTCTAACTCTACATGACCTCATTTGGGGGTTTCTTGGCAAAGATACTGGAGTAGTT